TTCTTTGGTCTTTCCTTCAGACAGGCTGGTGCACGTCATCAGCGCAGCCCGCATGCCGGCTGGTGACGTGTCTGGCTACGGCATCACCCAGGGAGGCTGGTTTGCAGGCGCAGGAGCTGGCAGACCTCCATCGCCAGGTATGGGAGATGGTCCCACTCGCTCCGGGACCAATCAGTGCCATAGGTCGTCAGTGTTTCTCTGGCCTGAGTGCAAGTGCTGCCCCTGCCTGCTGCCTCTAGACAGGAGAGCCTGTTTCTGTGCACCCAGGGCAGCCCCCCCGTTCCCAGCTCCGCAGGCACTGGCCCTTGGCTAGCACCTGGCAGAGTTGCAGGGTGATGGGAGATGCTTGGATCCTTTCACCTTGGCTCTGGGGAACTGTTGTGGGTTGCAACCTGGAGGGCTGGTGCCTATCAGTGTATGTGACCACTGCTGCCAGCTAACACTGCCCCCCAGGGTGCCAATATATCTTGTTTAGCTTTCTGCCAGCCCTAGGAGCTGCTGCTTCTGGGCAGGCTAGATTGGGAGGACTCCTCCATAGTTGGGGGACTGTAGGGATGAAGCACAGAGCTACCGGAAGGAGTCTCATCCTAGTGCTGCTTGCAGATTTGAAGGATGGAGATGAGTCCACAGGGCTGGCCTGTTGCTTGGTCGCAGCGGGTGCAGCTCCAGCTTGCCTGTTTGGGTGGGCTAAGCCCATGAGGATGCAGCTGGAGAGACTGTAAAGGGAGTCAAATCTTGTCAGGGTAGCAAACATCTCTGTAGCATGTTCCAGGCAGCAGTCAGCTCGCTCAGGCGTTACCTGGGGCTGCCTGAAAGGCCTGCAATGGCATGGGTATGGTGCCAAGCCTGCAGCCATACGTCCATCCCCTCTGCAGAGCCTTTGGCTTGGAGACATGCTAATGCAGCTTCTGCTCAGCTGGAGACTGGCCAAAGCAGGCTTAGGTCTGACCACAATGGTACCAGTAGAGAAATGAGCGCTTTGCAAAGGCAGCATGGCATGGGCACATCTGGCCAGAGGAGTGTTCCTGGGAGACCTGTGTGAGCAGTGACGTGGGCTTGTCCTCCAGGCAGCAGTCTCCCTGCTGCTCTCGGTGCATCACTGGTGCCCCACTGTGTCCCTCAGTGTGCTCCAGGGGTTGGGAGCACTGAGCCAGAGCTGGGCTTGTGTGGGAAGGGTATTGCACAGGATGGGCAACGGGCTCCTCGGGTGCCGGTGGGGGAGGCAGAGCAGCAGTCTGGGGTGGGCAGGCACATGTTTGTGTCCTAGGGACAGCGGGTGCGAGTTGGGACCAGCTCACTGGAGACTGCTGGGAGGTGGAGACGATCCCTGGGCTGAGAGGAGGCTGGAGGGAGGAACCAGCTGCATGCTGGGTTTTCTCTAGTGAGTGTTGGGAAGAGGCTCCCTCCCGAGGCTCTCCATCGAGGAGAGCAGTGGAGCAGAGGCCCAAACATCTTTCTGTGCAAGGAGAAGTTTCCACATAGGTTTCCTCTAGATTCAGGGTGTGCTTTCCAACCCCCCCACCAGGGCCCTGGCACATGATATAACCTATGTCTCCCCTTTTCCAGAAGATCACCATGCCAGGACTGCCTGCGAAGCCCAGCAGGAAGCACCCATGGGGCAGGAGCCTGGTGTGATACCAGTGGCACAAGACCCCCAAGGGAACATGCCAGGGTCTGGCTGGGGCAGGAGCCAGTGTGGGTCCGAGCTGGTGCAAAGGGCCAAGGCACCTGGGGAGCCCTGTGGGGAAAGGAGTCAAGAAACCATTTGCTGTTGCCCCAGCTACAGACTCTCAAGGGTGGCCAGAGGGGAGCTGTGAGGGCAGGGCTGACCACAAGTCTAGCTGGAGAGGGACGAGTTGCAGCCTCAGCATGGGCAGCGGGAGATGGTGGAAGATCCACCCAAGCTGGCTGGAGGAAGCTCTCTTGCTGCCAGTTGTGCGGGAAGGTCTTTAGCAGCCGACTGGAGCTGACCAAGCACTGGCGGTTTCACCCACTGCAGTCTTCTCCTGCAAGGAGTGCGTTCAGGCCTTCGGCAGCACGGGCAGCCCAGCACGGCACCAGCAGCTGAAGGCAGAGGAGAAGGCACACACGCGCTAGCACTTGGCAGATGTTCCTGTGACACCAGTGCATCCACATAGGGAAGGGGCCCTTTCCCTGTGCCCAGAGCGGGAAGAGCTTCGCACGC